CATCTCCCCCTCAGCAGCCTGCCAGGGTGCAGGATGGGGCCCGAGCACCCCGTGCCTCCATCCTGGGTGCTGGCCCAGGAGGCTGCAGCACGCAGGGTGGAGTAAAACAGAAAGGCAGAGCCCGGCGGGGGCTTTTTTGGCCGGAGGCTGACTCACGGTGTGGTGGGGGGCACGCAGGGGGGGAGCCGGGCTCTCCGGCAGCACCCCGTGGCCCTGAGCCATCGCCACGGATGATGAAGCAGCCGGGGTTTTGCTCAGCACTTTTTTTTTGTTTTTGGCAAGAGCAAAAGAAAGGGGGGGGGGGGGGGGGGGGCTGGTGTGCTCCCTGCCGAGGGCGGAGAAGCGCGACCAGGCTGCGCCGTGACATTCAAGAGAGGTGCCAGGAAGGGAGGGCAGGTTTCGGATAAACAACGGGGCTCTTCTCCTGCTGCAGCACCCCTGGCCGTGGCCTTACAGATGTCCCCAAATCGGGGGTCCCCAAGGGAGGGGGTCCCCAAGGGAGGGGGCATCGCGAGGTGCTCCGGTGCCGCTGTCCACTGAGGGTTGCGCACCCCTGGGAGCAGGAATTGACGGACGGAGGGGCTGTGGATCCCCCCCCCAGGCAGCAAAATTTGGGGTCAGGGTGGGGGAAAATGATTTTCTCCGCTCCCAAGCCTTCAGGAGCAGCAGCCAGCGAGGGGCTGGGGGATGTCCTGGCCTCTCCCCCACGAGGGCGGCCGGGGATTTCCAAGCACCCCGGGGTGGGCTTGGAGGAAGCGGTGGGAAGCTCGTGCTCCAAAGGTCGGCAGGAAGCCAGCGGGGGCGGACGAGGGGGGAGGACAAGAAGAGTTTTGCAGCCCGGGGATGCTCGGGGTTGGGCTCCCCCAGCGGCTGCAGCACCCAAGGGTGCCCGGCGGGCGGTGGGGAGCAGCAGCCGCAGCTCGCAGGATGTGGTCGGGGGCCGAGCAGCAGCCGGCGCAGGGCAGGCAGCGCACGGCCCCGTCACCACAGCAGCAGGCAGGAGCAGGATCCGGCCCCGCTCACCCCTTTATCCTCTCTCCCCCAGGTGCCTGGGCGATGGAGAGCTTCGTGGAGAGGTTTCGCCTGGGCTCCCCCGTGGCCTCGACGCAGTTCCTCACCAAGCACCACGAGGATTAGCCGGGGCCACATCGCCACGGATGAGACCCTGGAAGCCCTGGGGTTGCTCCCAGCTGCTGCCCAAATTTCCACCAGCCTGGATTCAGGAGCAGGAAGCCCAGCTCCCTCCTCCCCCAGAACCTGGGGGGGTCTCTTCCCCTCTGCTCCCCACCGGCGTGGGGTTTCTGGTGCACCCCGAGTGCGTCCCGGCTCACCCAGCTCTCAGCTTTGCTGCCTGTGGCTCAGAAAATAAAAAATAGGCATGGAGAGCACTGGGATGCTCCTTGCTGCTGGGGGGGACACGGCACGGCCTCGGGGGGGCCAGGAGCTGGGCAAAACACGTGGCCAAATCCATCCCACAGGGTGCTTCCCATCCCTTTCCTGGCTCCGTGCCCATCAGAGTTTTTGCCCAGCATCTCCCGTGCCTGCTGCCTGGCACAACCCCAGCACCCCGCAGATTTTGGGGGCTTTCAGGACGGCCACGTGTGCTCGGTGGCACCGTGGTGGCCCTGGGGGGACACCAAGGGAGCCCCGGGTGGCTCCATCCCTGCCCTGCCCGCGCTCCCCGCGCTGCCTCAGCCAGCTCCTCTTGGAAAGCAAAACCGAAATGAAAGCCGTAAATCAGAGGAGCTCTGCCGGCTGGCCACTTAGCCGGACCTCCCCTTTAATTAGCTCTTTAATTAGGCTTTCAGCTAAGACTCGGGGGTTTCTCCAAGGCTGGGATCACGTCCTCCTCGCAGCGACGAGGCTGGGTTTGCGCTGCCGGTGCCGGGGCAGCGAGGCCACCCCGGGGCTGGCTGCGGGAGCACTTTGAGCCCTGCACATCCCTGGGGGGGCGAAAATTTGCAGGTGGGGAAACTGAGGCAGGGAAACGACTTGCTCGTGGCCGTGCAGAGGGGAGGAAGCCCCCCCGAGGGCTGGAGGTGCTTGGAGAGGTTGGTGATGGATCTCGTGCCGGATCCAGTTTGGTCCTGGAGCAAATTGCGCCCATCCCATGCTCCCCGGAGGACACGATGCTGCGAGAGCAGCTTTCACCTTTTTTTTTTCAGGAGGGCTCAAACGTGGCCGGGACTTTCCCTGCAGCAGGAGGAGGCTGAATCACATCAGCGAGGTGCCCGCAGGCACCGAACGCCTCCCGTTTGCCCCGGTGCCACCCCACAGCAGGACACGGGGCCGGTGGCACCGGCTCTGCCCCAGGCGCACGCCGCTGGGGGAAGCTGCAGGGCAGGAGAGCAACAAAAAAAGGAAGCCGGGTAACACACCACAGCCCAGGAAAAAGAAAAAAAAAAAAAAAAGAAAAAAAATACAAAACACGCTGCCCTGCTTGCCATCAGCCAGCTAAAATTAGCAGCGGAGGAAATGACACTTCGAGATGTCATGGAAGTCTGCTAAAGTTGGATTTCTCCTTCTCTTTTTTACATTTCCCCGCCGCTGAGGGTGTAATTGGGCCGTTAGGTTAATGCAGAGGGACCGGTGTAAATGAAAGGTCAGGCTTTGTTGACATCCTGCAGTCAAACTATAGGCGTCCTTCCCTCCCTGCCTTTAATTCCTTGTGGCTGGAGTGTTTATTTTTGGTGGAGCGGGAGAGAAAAGCGATCGGATGTTTATCCTTCGAGGAAATTATCGCCATCATTCTTGGGTTTAATTTGAGCTGGAGATGAGAGCCGGGAGCACGCCTGGGGCGAGCGCCGGGCAGGTGCTCCAAGTCCCCCACGTGTGCCACCAAGATGGGCCTTGGAGGGGATGGGGATGGGGATGGGTAAGGGATGGGATGGGGTTAGGATGGGGATGGGGATGGGATGGGGACAGGATGGGGACAGGGATGGGGATGGGATGGGGATGGGATGGGGACAGGGACATGGATGGAATGGGGATGGGAGTGGGATGGAAACAGGGATGGGGATGGGATGGGAATGGGGACGGGATGGGGACAGGGATGGGGTTGGGATGGGGATGGGATGGGATGGGAATAGAAACAGGGATGGGGATGGGGTGGGAATGGGGACGGGATGGGGACATGGATGGGGATGGGATGGGGATGGGGATAAGATGGGGACAGGGATGGGGAAAGGGATGGAAATGGAGACAATGGGGATGGGGATGGAAATGGGGATAGGGACAGGATGGAGACAGGGATGGGGATGGGATGGGGATGGAAACAGGAATGGGATTGGGATGGAAACAGGGTTGGGGACAGGGTGGGGACAGGGATGGGGACAGGATGGGGACAGGGATGGGGATGGAGATGGGGACAGGGATGGAGATGGAGACAATGGGGATGGGGATGGAAATGGGGATAGGGACAGGATGGAGACAGGGATGGGGACAGGAACGGGGCATGTTGAAGGGCACAGGGATGGGCACAGAGATGTGGAAGGGGACAGGGATGGGGACAGTCCTTGGAGAGCAGGACCGAGAGGTGGAGGCCGCGTTGCTCAAAGCCACGCGCGCGGCACCGGGCGCACCACGGGGCAGCAGCGTCGGCCAGCCCCTAACCACAAACTCTCACTGGGATGTGTGCGAGGCCCTCACGGCGTGGAAAATATTAATTGTGGTTTTTTTGTTCGCTTTTTGATAATTTACAAAGAAAGAAAAAAAAGAAAAAAAAAAAAAAAAGGAAAGGAAGCCGCACGCAGTCACTTTGCGCCGGTCCCACCCCCTTTATCTCTCCTTCCATTCGCTCACCATTGGTGCAAGAGCGAAAAGAGAAGCTGAGTCTCTCGCTGCCTAAATGTAGAAAGTTTTGCTTCTAAATCAGTTTGTGATGGAAAGGAAATACGTCACGTCCCTGGGGAAGTGGCTGGTTTTCGGCAGCCACAACCCCAGCGCCGAGCGCTGCAATGGAACAGGCGGCACTGAAATAGCTCCGCGCCGTGTTATTGTCACCGATATCATTTTTTTTTCTCTGTCTACGTGTGTCATTTTTAGCATCCAGAGGAAGTTTTATTTGTATTTGTTAGCCCGACTTTCCACTGCCGGGGCTTGTTGTTTCTTTTTTTCTCTCTTCTGTGGGTCCAAGGCACGAGGGGGGGATGAGAAAACAACACCGGGGCTCGGCACAACCTGGAGCCCACGGCACTGCCGGCCTCTCTTGGTGCTGCACCTTGGGGGACAAAAAAAACATTATCCCTAAAAGAACCCAATCCTTGGGAAGGTTTTGGGGTCACAAAAGTGATCCGAGAGCCACAGATTTAACAGTTTCCCCGTGGAGGCCTCCTTGGTGTGGTGGAGGCTCCTGAGGGGTCTCCAACCTCTTCCCGGAGCGAAGCCATAAAGCAGGCGAGGGAGAGGAGGGTTTGGGGTTTGGGATGTGGAAGGTGAAGCTCGGGATCGCCGCCTGCTCCTCCTGCAAGCGACGGCAGCTCGCGGCAGCGCACGTGGGGGTGTTTCTGTTTCTTTCCCAAGCTGGGCTGGAGGCCAGAGGAAGCCTGCGCCGAGCGCAAGCCCCAAGTCACCAGGGTAATAATTACCTATTCCCAACGATTATCGGCGTAATTACTGTAATGAGGAGGATCTCAGCCCCTGGCTCGAGGGGAGGCAGCCCTCGGTCCCATCCCCTGAAGCAGAGAGGGAAAAGAGTCCGAAAAGAGTCCCCTCTCCAGCCAGCACCCAGTGGGACCACGCCAGGAAAAGGCAGATTTCGGGGCAGGGGCCAGGGAGGAGCAGGGATGGGGACACCTCCATCACCCCCCGGCCTCGGTGTTTTGTGGGGACGGGGTGGGACCACGGCAGATTTTGGGGAGCAGAGCGCTGCCAGCTTCCCCTCGCACAGGCACTTGCACAAGAAGGGATTAGCAGGATCAGGTGCTGATGATCTAAGTGCATAACTATATCAACCTGCGGATTAATTAATTAACGATAGCTGGCGCTGCCTAATGGCCCTATCTGCCGAATTAAAGCCCTGCTGCACCCCCTTTTTCCCCCCCCCCGGGGATATAGGTCAGGATGATTTGCTGGTGGGGAGGCCACGGCACGGGGATAAACAACGCTGCCCGTTTTGGGTGTCCCAAAAGGAGGTTGTCCGGGGGTGCAAGCGCTCCAGGTCGGTGCCGTGGGGTGATGGGGCACCCAGGGGTGGGATCCTCCCGTGCCAGTAGAAACCAGTTTCCAGCACTGCTGAGGGGTGGGGAAATGAAGTTTTTTGTCCCCGTTCTAAGGGGCAAATTCCTGAATCCCCCCCTTTTTTTTTAATAGGTTTTTAAATCGCAGAAAATAAAAACTGAATTGTTTTGGATGGACATAATTCCCGGTAAGAAATGGGGAAAACATCACGGTGAAGGCTTCCTGGTAAATCAGGGAGAGCCTCACAACACCACTGCTGGCTGGGGGCAGGTGGGGGCACACGGGGACACCGCAGCCCCCCTACAACTCCTCCCCGTTCCTTTTTTCAAGCATCAGCGGCAAACCTGGAGGGATTTGGGGCAGGAGGCATCCAGAGCAGCCTCTGCCTTGCGAAAAGCTTTGCTGGCCATGCTCTGGAGATCCCTATTTCATCACCTCCCCCCTGCTTTCTCAGAGCATTCGAAGGATGAGCAACAAGAAGGGGACAAACCCCAGCGCCCCGCATCGTGCCATGGGCGCACGAAGCCCCCCCAACCTTGGGCACCCCCCCCGGTGCCCGTGTGGGTGCTCGGCTTCGCCCGTGGCCCCGAGGTGCCGGATGCGGTGACCTGCAGCCGGGGCGGGCCCTGGGAACGGCAGCCAGGGCTGTGCAGGAATTTAGGGCTCCTGAAGTAATAGGGGAAGGCGGGCGAGGCGCGGACGGGGCCACGTCCCTACCCCTGCGTGCCGCGCCAGCAGCCGGAGGTGCCAGCAGGGGCACGCGGGCCGGTCGTGGCACGATGCTTTTATTAATTAGTGATAATGACTAATATTTATTAGGCTTCCGACCTGCGGCGTGGCAGCGGGGGAGCTTTGTGGGGCTGCCTGCAGAGACAACCCGGTCCCCTTTGGGTTCCCTTTGGGTCCCCTTTGGGTCCCCACTCACTGGCTCTGCCCTTCCCTCCTGCTCAGGAGAGGGAGAACGGCCCCAAAATTACAGAGCCAGGCCCTCGCCCTGCCCAGGGTGCTTATGGGGCACCCCACAGCTTTCTGGCCATTATCAGGAGCCGACCCTAAACTGGAGCTGCTGATTTCACCCTGTGCACCTACACCAAAACCGGTGCTGCTGGAGAGGGGAGGGCTGCAGCTCCGTGCCCATCTCCCCAACCTCATCGAGAGGAGGTTGTGGAGAAAAACCCACAGCAGATAAGCACAACCTGCCCCACGGGGTAGGAAAATGGGGAAAATGGAGCAGCCCCGTGAAAACCCCACGCAGGGCACCCCCGGGCGTGTGTCCGGAGCTGGGGAGCTCCGAGCGGCTTCAGACCTCACCACGAGAGCCGGATCCTTCCCAGCACCTCCTCCTGCCCCGCTGGGGCCACGCCGGGTGCCCGGCGCTGCCCTGTTTACGCCCGGCTGTCTGCGGGGTGAGGCGGATGCCTCTCGGGGTTTGCATCCCGCGGGAGGCGTGGTGGGAGCCGCGGGCTCGCCCGCTCCGGCAGCGCAGGGCGCGGGGCAGTTTCAGCCCGCAGCCCCCGGCCTGCCCTCACTTGTCGGCACCGACTCGCTTCTCATCCCCTCCTCGCAAGCCCGCAGGTCCTCGGCTAACCCGATATTTCCTCATTGCTAGGAAATGGCTAATTCCCCCCGGGCTGGTTTCAATGGATGTGGAGATACCTCGCCTTTGGCCTCCTACCAGTTTCTCCTCCAGTGGCTAGACCAAAGGCAGCGGCGGCTCTCGGGAGCAGCACTTTCCCAGGCTTGGCTTTCGCTGCCCGGGAGGATGTCCACCCCCTTGCACAGCATCCTGAGCCGGCCAGATGTCAGGCTCTGGATTCCCTTTTGTGAATTCACACCGGGGCCAGCGTTTCGCCCAGCGCCGCGATCGGCCGCGGCGGGCGCGTGGCCACCGCCGTGTTTTGGTGCTGCCCCCGATTCGGGAACCATCCTCGTCTCCCAGTTTTTTTTGTCACGGCCTGGTTCTCAGAGCCGAGACGCAGCACCCATTTCCTCTTCTGCTTCTTAGTTTCGTGTTAAAAGGGGAAAAAAAAACCATCCTGGCAGCTCCCCACGAACCCCTCGCCGGTGCCACGGTGCCTTTTGGGGCACTCCGGGATCCCAGGCCGTGGGCACAAATTTGGGACCCATGCTCACCTGATAATATCAGGATGAAAACCCCTGGCCCTGCAGCCCCATCCCACTACCCCTGCGTGTTCCTACCACCCCAGGCCCTCTCCCCACCTCTCAAACCCCTCGTTCCCAGCGGTGCCGCTCCCTCGGGGCCGCTTTGCGCTCTGGACCTACTGCCCCGTTTTCCTGCTGATCGCCCCGGCCCCTTATCTCCGGGTCGCACTGCGCCGGCCGCCACCGCTATTGTTCCCCCGTTGCGCTCTGGATAATAACAGGAAAGCCCTCCGGGCTCGCACTTGGCTGACCCACAATTTGGGGCTGCCCGGGGCAGCGTGCGGCCACGCTCGGGGTGCCCTGCACCTGCCCCTCGCCACCGGGGCCCCCCGAGCGCATCAGAGCCCCGGGTGCCCTTTTGGGGTGATGCCAGAGGGGCAGTTTGGGATGGGGGTGGTGGCGGTGAGGAGGTTTGGGGTGCAGGCAGAGCTGGTGCTGGTAGCACCCCGTGGTGCTGCCGCGGGTGCCGGAGCTTCCCTGGCTTCCAGCAGCTCCCAGTGCTGCCACCTTCAGGGACTGGTCCCGGCCACCCAGCACCCATCTCCCCGCACGGGGTGCCCAGGGATGTGTTGGGTGCCCGGAGCTGCACCAGGCTGGGTTCCTCTGCCTGCCCCAGGCTCATCGGGGTGGGTTTCCATCTCTCTTCCACCTCGGGGACCTTCCCCTCCCCTGAATTTTTTAATGCTGCTGCTGCGCAGGGTGAGGCAGGGCCGATTTCCCCCCTTGCCACAGGGAAACTGAGGCAGGAGAGGGCTCCTACAGAACTCCCCCTCCTCCTGGAGCACCCCAAATACCTCTCTACCTATTTTCCCCCAACCCAGAGCTCAAGCTGAGCCAGCTGGACCCCTCGGGAGCAGCACAGCACGCAGCGGCACATCCCAGGGTGCCAAATCCTGCCCTCGGGGGTCCCCTCACCCCCCCCCCCCAAAAGGAGGAGGGATGAGGCAGCCGTGTGCCTCATTTGCCATGCATAGTTCAGTGCAAGTGTTTCTGAATATTTCCGGAGGAGGAGGGTGTGTAGTTTTCACAGGCAAATCAGGAAAACCGAGGCGAGCTGGGAGCCCGCCGCCTGGAAAGGACGCGGACGGTGCCGGGGAGGAGGGTGTTGGTGCTGGGTCAGGAAAGCTGCCCGGCACTTTTCTCCTGGCTGGAGCTCCCCAAGCCAGCCTTTGGCCTGAAACGAGGATTTCCCACGCCCAACAGCAGCCCAGGAGAAAGTCTCTCCTCCTCCAGAAATGACGGCAGGGCTGAAATTACCCTGCCTCCCATCCCTGCAGGTGCTCGGCATCTCTCACCTCCAGGTCCCGGGGCTGCCCGGAGAGTGAATTTGCTGCCGAAGCAGCTCCTGCCCCGGGAGCCACGGCGGGGGCAGCTCGTGTTTGACGCCCCCGGCTCACCACAGCCCGCCCGTGAGACCTCACCGACTGCAAACAAAACGCTCGCAGCCCTGCGAGACGGCCGTGGCTTCATCAGATACCTCCCCGACACCCACCTCGCGGTTCGGGCGGCCGACTTGATTTGTTCCCCTGCTCCAAAGCTGCTGGAGGAGGGCTGGCGGTGTCGGCCATCCCTGCAGCCGCCTCCGCACATGGCCCCGGTACAGTCATGCCTGGGGGTAGGAGCGCGGTGGGGTGACCTTTTGAGGTCCCCACCAGGCTCAGTGTTTACATCTTGGTGACCTTCGCAGCCCCAGATCTGCATCTGCAGCAAATCCAAGGGGCCGGGGAGCGAAGCCTCTGTTTTCTCTTAAAAGCCTCCAGATCCTGCCCCGAGCTCAGCTTCTGAGCATCCTTTGTCACCCAGGGCTGGAGGCACCGATGCTACAGGTCCCCAGCCACGTGCTAAGAGCCTCCTTGAGCTCCTGAGAACCCCAAAAAGGCAGTGGGCAGGTGCTGGGCACCTCTCCGTGGTCCTCAGCCTCTGCTGCTCGGCTCTTCCCAGGCTCAGCTCCCAGCACCGAGGTCTGGGCGTGATTTCGGTGGGAAGCAGCAGCCTGCTCGCCTCACCACGAGACGCACAAGCCGTGCTATCTCCCCTCTAACCACCTTTATGCTGCCATTAATTAGGTGAAAAAAATCTGCCCGGTTCCCCTTTTGAAAGCCCCGGCGGTCCCCGGAGAGAGCCAGCGAGCAGCGGGGCTCCTCGGCACGGCCACGGCACCTGCGGGCTCCCGGCACATGAATCACCGGGGTCACAAGACCGAGAGGAGAGGGGAGAAATCACCCATCAGATGATTTCTCGGTGGTGGGCACCAGCTCGGCCCCCCTGGGGCACCGTGGGGTTTCGGCACGCCGCGTGGTGAGAGCCCCACGGGCTGCCCCCAGCCCCACGGGGGGTCCCCGGGGTGCGTGGCACCACGGCGTTGTTCCTGCCGTTAGTTCAGGGGCTGAGCGAGCCCGAGGCTGGGCCAGCTCTGCCTCCTTGGCTTTATTAAGGCGAGGAGCCTCCGATGGGCAGAGGTGATAGCGGTGTGGGGCGCGATCTGCATCAGCTCCGGGGAAGGGACCGCAGCGTTCGGTGCGCCTGGATCCGCAGCGATGATTGTTCCTATTACCGGGACACCCCAATCGGGATGGGCTCACCTGGCCTGGGAGGCAGGAGTGTGGGACGATCAAAATAAGTGAAAGCTTTCTGCTACAAGCTCCCTCCAAGCCCAAGCTGTAATTTAAAAACCCTCCGGAGCATCCGAGGTGAGGCGTTTGCGCTCCCTTTGGGTAAAGTGCCCCGCTCGGGACACTCCAACCCATTACGTCGAGCTGTACCCGAGCCAGCCCAACCCCCACGCGGCCGTTTTCATGCCAGTCGAAGGCTGCCCGAGTTTATTTTGGCTGCCGGCCCTTCCCCATCAATTGGCATCGAAGCGCCACGAGGAGCTGCGAGAGCGGCCGCGCGGGATGGGGCCGTTCTCACGGGGGTGCCTTTCACCCCTTTTAGCCCTGCAAACCAGGCCCTGATGACTCAGGAGCTTCGAACCCAGCCTCAACCCCGCTGCGAGGCTTTGGGGTGGCGGCGATGCCCCCCGGGATGCTTTTGGGGGGCTCCCTGCGCTCTGCCCATCGGATGCAGGCACCGTCTCCGGTGATCCACCCGGGGTTGGTGCCTTTTGGGCACCCATCCAAGAGTGGGGCTGGGCTTCCTGGCACCTTTTTGGGGTGCTGAGCAGCTCCGTGGCGGGGCGAGGAGCTGGGCCAGTGCGTGCTTGCCCCGGCTCAGCAATTACGAGCCCGAGGCTCGCCGGTGCCTGCCGGCACCGCGCACCAAACGCGCGCTCCCCCCCTCCGCTAGGAAGCCTGGAGTAAGCCGAGGTGTTTGGTGTTGATGTTGTTGTTGTGTTGTTTTTCTTTTTCTTGCCGCACACGCTCGGGGGCTGAGCTTCATTTGAAGAGGGGGGGGCAGCTCCGCTGTGCCCCCACCCCCGCGCAGCAGCGGGGGCGCACCGGGGACCCCTGCGCGCCCCCAGCGAGCGTGGGAACGCGCCGCGGGGATGCTGGAGAGGGGGGGGATGCTCGGCTTGGGGACCCCCTTTAAACCCTCAAGGGGGGTGAAAGGGGGTGCAGCGAGCTGCAGGGCCCCCCCCCGAACCCAGTGCTGCCGTGGGGCCGGGGTTGCTCCGTATCCAACCCCCCCAGCACCGCTCCGCGCCGGGGGCACCGGAACCGGCGGCCAAAGAAGGCAGCAGAGGCGGGGCCGGATCCAGACCTTGTATGGCGCTTCCCCTCGGCCGCCCGCCCGCCACCGCCCCGTTTTCCCCCCCCCCCGCTTCTTTTCCCTCCTTGTCCCCCCCCCTTTCCAACCCCGCAGCCGCCGCCGCGCTCCCCCGGGCCGCGCCGGGCCAACGGGCGGGGTGGCGAGGGGAGGGGAGGGGAGGGGAGAGGGGGGAGGGCTGCGGGCGGTGGGGGGGGGGGGAAGGGCGGGGGGGGGATTTAAAGATGGGGGGGGGATGGAGGGGGGTGCCCTGTAAAGGATTGGGGGGGGCAGGGCGTGGGAAGAGGGATGAAAAAGGGTGGGGGGCGCTGTAAAAGAGGGGGGGGGGGTGGCAAAGGGTAGGGGGAGGTAAAAAGGGGTGGGGGGGGTTAAAAAGGGGTGGGGGGTGTAAAAAGAAAGGGGGGGTCTGTAAAGGGTGGGGGGGCTGTGTAAAGGGGTAGGGGGGCTCTGAAAGGGATGGGGGGGCTCTCCAAAGGTGTGGGAGGCTCTGGAAAATGTGGGGGGCTCTCCAAGGGGGTGGGGGGCTCTCCAAGGGGGTGGGGGGTTCTTCAAAGGGGTGGGGGGCTCTCCACAGTTGTGGGGGGCTCTGTAAAAGGTGAGGGGGCTCTGAAAGGGGTGGGGGGCTCTGCAGAGGGTAGGGGGCTTTGCAAGGGGTCCGGGGGGGCTTGGAAAAGGGTGAGGGGCTCTGTAAAAGGTGGGGGGGCTTTACAAAGGGCAGGGGGGCTCTCCAAAGGGATAGGGGGCTTTTCATCAGAGTGGGGGGCCCTGAAAAGGGGGGGGCTCTGCAAGTGATGGGGTCGCTCCTAATGCAAGCGGGGTCCTGCACGAAATGGGTGTCACTGTGTTATACTGGGGGGGGGGCTTCAACAGGATGGGGGGGGGGCTCGATGGATTTGGGGCCCTTCCAGTGCCACTGACTGCAGGGCCCTGTACAAAACAAAGCACCCGTGACCCCCCCAAAACCCCCAAAAACCCCCAACCC